AATTTATCTAGCTATTCTGTTCTACAGCATCACTACCTCTTCCAAGAGAAAAGGTTTGTTTCTTCCAACAAAATATTGCCCTGTTGTAGAAAAAGAGTCAGTACACCTTCAAAGGCACAGTCTTTCAGCCCAAAAAGAAATAAAAACACTTTAATAATTAAGCAGGAATATGACACAGAAGTAATTAAAGGAGCATTTCCTAAGAAACTCTGTGAAAATATTATATGTAGTTCATGCCACTACCATTATCCCCTGCCTGGGCAGGATCTTACCAAGTCACTCAGGCTGGCCTCAAACTCTAGATCCTCCTGCCTCAGCCTCCCAAGTACATAGCTGGGATTACAGGTGTGCACCACCATTTCCAGTCTAGTTTTCTTCACTCAAGAGACACAGGTCATACTTCACAGGACTCACTTGCATTAGATGGTGAGTGGGTGACTTGTAAATTCACAGGGTAACTGGCTGCACAGCAGACATGACATCTATAAACAGCTAACCAGGGCTGAATATGAAGAGCCCATGAAAGAGGATGGGCTGAGACACTTATGAAATAAGTACCTGAAAAATGTCTTATAGAAAATGGGGAAAAGTAGGCTCTGAAGACAGACAGACCCAGGTTCCAGCTCAGTTCTGCCTCCTGCTTGCTATGCATCTTTGAGCCAAGATATGACTGGCTTTGCCCTCAGCTTCCTCCTCTGAAAAATAGGTCTAATAAATGCCTAGATCACAGGAGTGGTATGAGCTTGGTTTGAAAGCAACACAGGGCAGGTACTTGCTATCCATTATAGTTATGCGTAAACTTTAGAAAAGGCTTACTCTTGAATTAAAAATTACCCACTTTTTTCAATATGAAGTAAAATGTCAGAGACTTTCACGTAAAAAGCCCTACAGAGGTTTCTTTTCCTAATTCATCTACCACATTGGCAGAAAGAGCCCCATAAGCTGAACTTGGCTGAGTCTGTTTCGTTCATCTGTCAACAGGAGTCTAGGGTTCAAACTGAGTTGACAACTGCTGAAGGGACAGACTGGGCGGCGTGGCGGCATTGTGTTTCACACCTCCGAGGGTTGCAGCTCCCAACAAAAACATCATATCTCTGTCAGTCAAGCACAATTATAGGACTTGATAGACGGGTGCAAGTAAAACAGCTAGTGTCAAAAGTCTCCTGACTCTTTTCTGGCTACAGTTATGGGACTTGCTTGATTCTGGCACCTGGGACTATTAGAAAGGCATTTCCCCTGGGGAGGAAAAGACAGAGGGGCTACATCCCCAACTGGCTCTGAAAATCATCAGAACAAAGAGGAACACTTGCTCCATTTGAAGACCTTGAAGTTATTTTGTAAATTCTGATCAAAGTCCTTGCTCATTACATGAAAAATGTTCAGTGTCTCCCAAGTAGAAAGTACAGTTGCATAGTCAGGAATCAAAGGGAGGGTCATCCTTCCAGCCAGTGCAGTGGTGACATCAGCTAGATGCTCAAAGCTCTGGCATGGAGACCTTTAGAACAGTATTCTAATATGTGTCATGTTTATGAGAAAGTAGAAAGTGCCTGATATTCACATTAAACAAATTATATGCATTTTCATAAAATTGCTCCACTATAACATTTTAGAATAGAGGCTCCTATGGCAACAAGATCTTTGTGTCGAAAGGTATAAGGCTGAACAGCTTCCTGTAGAGTACACTGATATGTGGGTTGTGATTCAAGTTGCATTTCAAGTTTTAAATTATAAATGATCTCAAGGTGTAAAAATATAGAAGCTATCAAAAGAAACAGATTATTATATCCACACATAATTCTAGGATGATATACCCAAGTTTTCCAAAACACATCAAATGAAATGAACAGGCACATGAAAGCCTGCTAAATTAAATTCCATCATTAATATAGTTTACTTTTCTTTCTTTTAAAAAAATCTTCCTTAAGGACATTACTTTGGGAGAACAATGAAAACCAGGTGACTCTCAGTGATGACGAGGGACAGTGAGATCTGGCATGGTCCCCGCCTCCCTGGGGGCAACTGTAACCTATTGTTTATGCTAAGGAGGACCAGAAGGCTGTCTTTTGCACTACGGGAGCAGATCTCACAAGCAATTGAAAGGGAATGAAAAGAAAATGTATGACAGGACTCCAAGTCACATTTGATTCTGAGTCAGACTTGATAATCCTCCTGTTCATGGTTTCTCTGTGGACAGGAAAGCCACAGCTCCACCGAAAACTGGGTCCAGAGGGAGGTCTGTAGGATTAACTTGCTGTAGGTCCCAGGCCAAGGACTGTTCAACAGAAGTGAGGCCGGTTATCCTCTAGATTACCTTGGGCTCCCCATTTAAAGCTGAGAATGGGGCCAGGTGTAGTAGAGCACACCTGTATTCCCAGCACTCGGGAGGCTGAGGCAGGAGGATTACTGCAAGTTTAAGACCATCCTGGGCTACAAAATGAGCTCAAGGCCAGCCTGAACTGCATAGCGAGACCCTGTCTCAAAGAGACAAAAATAAATAAATAAATAAAAGATCAAAGTTGAGAATGAAGCAATGGTACCATGATTAAAGCAAAACATAGGACTATGTGTTTTATCCAGTTCCTAATTTGTAGAAAAAGTTGAATAATTTTTCAAAAGGCATAAAAATTATACAGTACAAACATATTAAAAAAATAAAGGAGATCAAGATGGGTAGATGGGAGGAGAGGGGAGGGAAAGGAGATGAAGAAAGGAACTAAGGTGTGTCCTGTACTGATTTCCTGCAGGGAAGTGTAAACATTTGTACTACACACGTACTAATGAGCTGAACCAAAATAAAAATATCAAAAAATAAATAAAACTGCATAAGCTGTCAGATTTCAGTTCATGGAAGAGAATTAAAAGATTAGACTACACACAAAATTAAAATGGTGCTAAAAATAGAATAAGGTCACTAGAAATTAAATTTTTCAAAAATCAAGTATTTCCTCCTTAAATATATTGTTAGGTCTGCCTAACCATAATAATGCCTTCAGAAGTACTTATTCAGAAATAGAAAGTTGTTACAAAGCCACCTACTCCAAGAAAAATTTGACAGAATGCAGATGGTTCTTAGAAACCCTAAATGGGGTTTAGAAATCGGAGTTTCAATGGGATTATTTTACCCATAGGCCCCCACAACATGGCTCCTTAAGCACTACAGTGAGGCTCCATTATATTACTAAGGAAGGCATAGTCAATATATTTGCTTCTCTTTTTCAGAATCAGTGGCTTCTCATCATTGTAAGCAACTTACATTTTCATAACACACAATTCATAAGCAATAGGAAAAATGTAGGAAGCTGATTTGAATCAGATACATCTAACTCAGTTTCAACTCTGCAAACCTTCTAGTTATGCAACCTATGATAATTAATCTCTGTGAGCCTCAGTTTCCCTACTGAACAATGGAAGGCCATCATCAGAGAGTTTCTTAGAACAAAATGAAATATGTATAAAAATACTGTACCAGAATACAATCTGCCTGCCATATACTAGGGACTCCCTATGATTGCTGTCTTTCTTTATATATTATAAGAAAACAAAAAATAATATGTTTTTTTGTCTTTTTGAGACAGGGTCTCGCTATGCAGTTCAGGCTGGCCTTGAGCTCATTTTGTAGCCCAGGCTGGTCTCAAACTTGCAATGATCCTCCTACCTCAGCCTCTTGAGTGCTGGGGTTACAGGTGTGTACCATCATGCCTGGCTGAAAAACAATATGTTTAAATATGAAATCTAGGCTACTAAATGGCCCAAGAAAGCAAGGGCTGTATGGCTGTTTGGGTTTTCTGGGAAACCCTAGAATCTTAAAGGTCACCATAGGTGGAAATCATATTGAGGTACCTTTGGGTATGGTAAGTACATACTCCACACAAAGAGGCCCTGAATATGCTACTCTGTCTGTAACCTTCAGAATTTGCTCTAGATACTAATGGATTGTTTCTAGTTTTGAAGACAGAGGCTTAAATATGAAGCCAAAGAGTAAAGGCTGACAGACCTGGGGCATGCCATCTGCCTAGCATTAAGTAAGAGCTGAAAGTCAGTTACAGAAGCAAACTCACTGCAAACATGATTTATGTTCCATGCTTGAACGTGGCAGGAAGACTGCGAAAGATATTTGGAAGCCAATGCTTCCTCTGAACAGAGTCAATGAGTCTACGCTAAGCCCCCTCCCTGGACCACGCAGGCCTGTTAGATAAGTTGCCAAGCGGCGCCTGTGACCCCTGCAGCAGAGTGGCTATCTGGGATGAGAAAATATCCCAAGGCCAATGATCACTGCTACCGTAAGAGCACAGTGCACTGTATAAACACCGGGGTCACACAGCAGATATCCAGGATATTACTCAAAAACACATCCAGCTCGAAGCTGACAAGATAATCTGTTCCTGTGAGCGCAAAGCGGCCTGGAATGCTGCAGGCACGACCTACTCAGGGAAAGAAAAAGAGAGGGGAACTCTCCATGGGCTCCGCCAGGCTCTTTCTGCAGGCCAGGCTCCAACAGACTTCAAAGCCAGGGCGGCCTAGGAGGCAGGGGGACAGAGCCCAGAGGGGGTATCACTTGTCTGATCATGTTGCCATCTGCATTTGGTGGTGTGGCAAATGCAAATATTTCAGATACAAGTTTAAACAGATGAAAAAAAAAAAAGATGTGTGAAATAGCTTGGAGATTTGCCTGCAAAAAGAAACCTCAGAGTTCCGGGAAAAGTATTTAAAATCAAAAGGCTCCTACGTTATCTCAAAAGTCCCAAGAGAGCAATTGGTGTGTGATCATATCAAAAATAAAGGTTTTTTTTTTTTTTAAATAGACACATATTGCACTGCAAATATCACATAATTCCAAGGTGTACAATTAAAACTAAGTAATGTTCCAAGCTTAAGTACTCCTAAGAGGTCAGCAGCATGTTCCTAACTGAAATATAGACAATATTTTGATGTTTTAACAAAGTTTTAACATACGTGATCCTCATTAATGAACAGCCAAAGTCATCCACCAACATACTTACAGGAGGACCTGTGGGTAATAGGGATGGAGAGAGAAGGAAAAGGGAGAGATGAATTAGTAAATATGCAAAACATTCCCATTAAACAATCATCACAGTACTTGGAACTCACTGATTCTTCAACATTTTTTAGATTCTGGACCGTTGGATATCATCTCAGAAAAATGCATTTATACTTATGCATAAAACGCTACATACAATTTTGAGGAATTTTCAGGTTCCTTAGAGCACATTTGTGAATTATTGAGAGGTTCATGTATCTTAAGACTGATTAATTTATTAAAGTTTAGCTAAAATATGAATCAGGAGGATCTTTGGTTACTTATGACAGACCAATATGCAGTATGGATAGATAATTTCTTGTGTTTGTAAAATAGCTAAATCAGAACCGTACCTTCTGCTTGTTCTATGTATGTTTTTCATTCAGCATAAAAATGTTAGTTCTCGCATTTGCATACATGTCTTTAAAACTATATATTTCTCATCAAAACACAGGAAAGAGTAAGAAAATTTCAGTACTTCACATACCACATGCTCAATTAAAACCCCAATTCTTCGTAGCTAGGAAGTTGCAAATTGACTTACATTTTCTATACAACTTTGCATAAATCCAACATTTTCCCTTTACTCTTTCTTTCCTTTGATACAAAGAACGTTTTAGTGCTCGTCTGACTCCAGTTGTGTCGTTTCTTCCTCCTCCAAACAGTCTTATGAGGCACCCACTACTATGAAGCTTTGTAGTCTGGTGAAGGGATACCACTACAAGTTTTCAATTACTTAGATTCACAGAAGCTTTATATAGAGTTTGAGAATGTTCTTAAAGGAACTCAGCAGCTTCATTGCCCAAACCAATGAATTTTCATAATCACTTTCTACTTTGACACCTTTTTCAAAATTTAACAAGATAAAAGACTCCTCCCCCATCAGGGTGCTGTCTGAGAGGTGTTTCAACGTTTAGTAACTGATTGCCTTTACTACTGATAAATGCTTGCAGAAAATACTGGAAAACAAAATTCCAGAGCATGCTACAATCAGATTTAAATTACTTATCTTTAAAGAAAGAATTGATGGCCTGCTAAGAGCTTCAGCTGGTCATTTACATTTTTGAAATCTGAGACTTATACAGCCAATGAACATAATTATAAGTAGATCTTAGTTTCAAAACTATTTCAATTTGCCCTTCTGTATTACTTTGGCCTGAAAACAAAAAGTTCCATAAGTGGGACTCCGCGTGATTAGTTCTGTTTCAGGTTCTGCTCGTGAGAAGTTGTGCAGCCTCAGCTGAGCGACTTGATTGCTCCAGGTCTCAGTTTTCTCAACCACAAACTAAAATGTTAGATGTTTACTAAGGCTCTTGTCATTGCTCAATTCCATGGTTCCGCAAGGACACAAATTTCCAAAGCTTGCAAAGAAGGAGAATTAAAGCATGACAAAATTGTGCCAGTTGGATCAAATAATAACAGAACTTTCCAAAGGGAGCTGGTATCCTAAGGCAGATATTTTTGAGGGAAACCTGCATTCCTTACCACCTACAGGGATGGAAGCATGAGAGATGCGGTCGCGGTGTGCCCAGATGAGAAACCTTCCGCCGTGTACCGGAAGGGCTGCCATAACTCGACACAGCAAATAGGCCAATTCTGAGTGTTAGTGGTTCCGGAAATGAACGATACTTTGCAAACTTCTCTAACTTCTAATTTGACAGAAATAAACTTCTAATTTGACAGGAACATAAAAAAATTCTAGATGTAGCACAGAAGATCTAACCCCCCCACACAACCTCAAGCAAGAAAGTATTATCATTAATTAGGAGGAACAGATGTGGGAATCTCCCCTGAATGTGAATGACATGAAGCAGCTGAAAGAGAGACTTACCAGATTCTCCTCTTCGGCCCCTCTTGCCCCTTTTCCCTGGAGGACCTGAAATCCAAAGAATAACTTTTTAATGTATTTTAACTGTTTTTTTCTGGTTACAAGATGGCTGGTACATAATTTCTATATAAATTTTCACTCTGTTCTTAACCACCAACTTCAAGAAAGGGACCAGATGTTTGTAAAGGTCATTATTGCCTTCAGTGTTTCAGCATAACTCTTAAGCTCCATTTAATTATAAATGAAAGCTGGTCTAGATGTCAAATCATCTAGCGTTAAGAACACCGAAGAGTCAGCATTTTTGCACATTCTACTTGTGTACCATCAATAAGAAAGGTTTTGCTAAGCAAACTGATAGTGTTGAAAGTTCACGTTCCTCAGAAGTCTTTCTTTTCTGAAAGTTTCAGTGTATTACAAATTAAGCATATTAAGTCCAAATGACTATCATTTTTCTTCTGTCAGGTTCATTATGATTATTTCAAGAGTATTTAGTTATCAGTTAATTAAATGTATATATTGGTTAGGAAAATAACTCTTACAAATATTTATATTTATGAAATATGAATATAACTATGAATATATTTGGATATAATTGAGAATGACCTGTGAAAACTCATAACCCTTTTATTTATTTATTTATTTATTTATTTTTTGGTTTTTTTGGTTTTTCTCCGGTACCGGGAACCGAACTCATGACCTTGTGCTTGCCAGGCAGGCACTTTGTCACTGAGCTAAATCCCCAGCCCCTCATAACCCTTTTAATTGGCCTGTGTTTCGCTAGTAACTTTAAGTCTGATTTTCTAAGAGACCTGCTTTTCTAACAGACTTTCGTGTAATGTACAGCCTATATGATGTGATGATGCCGTTTAAAAAGTAAACACTTTTTTTTCCCTTTGAGTTCCCTGTGAAGACCACCAAGGTCGTATGCATCAGACCCAGCACAGGACTGTAGACCTTCACAACATTCAAGCCATTATTCTCAATTACATAACTTCTGTCCTCATTTCCTTGGGTAGGAATAGTTCCCACTGAATTATGGTTCAGCCAAGTAGGAGAGTAATTAGCCCAGAATGAGAATCAAGGACTTGCAATACTCACTGAAAGAAACTGGCCAAGGAAAACAGAGCGCCACCTGGCCTTAAAGAATGAGCTGTTAGGTAGGACTGATGACTTCCAAACTCTAGAAGGTTCAAGTCACAGGCAGCAAAGGCCTGAGCACACAGCTGCTGTCCATGTGCTGGTGTCCATGGGCTACTGCCTTGCGCATGGAGCCACTGTCAGGAGCACAGGCAACATCAGTGGCCCAGTGAACTCACCCTTAAACCCTTAACCGGGATAAGTCTGGCCATTTGTGTTTTGTAAGAGAGTAGAAAAGCAATTAAATGGTAAAATCAAGTAAAAAAAACACTAGGAGAGGCAGCTCCGCAACAAAGTCTAAAACTGCCTTTGGAAATTTCAAATTTGCTTCTGTATTCTGGAATAAAAGGAGGTCTTTCATCATATTTAATGTATTCTTGGCCAGATTGAGAGCAGGAGGAAAAATCATAAAAATAGGTAAATAAACCTGGTGGGACCTTAATAAGTATGAAAAATATACATTTATACACCTGTCCAAACAATACTTTCTGATATATTCTAATATATACAGCTTTCTAAAGATTATCAATCAGACTTTTTTGTAGTATAAAGTCACTTAAACTAAGAACTATGGCAGCAACCACTATGTACTTTGGATATCTATGGTTCACATAGTAGAACCATTGGTAGAATCCACTACTGAAGAGAGTCTAGATGATAATTTTCTAGAATTGAATCTAAAAGTCACAAGATTGACCTTTACTTGAAGTGTCAAATTAAAAATAATTCACATTGAAACATATAGAAAGAAAAGCAATGGATGGTTAACAGGTAAAGATAAAAATGTTAGAAATAACTACAGAGGAAATTACAACGGAAGGTATTTTCACTCTCTGCTCACTCCCCACCACAACAAGTGGGAGGAGGCCTTATCCTGATTTTTATGACCAGTCCTAGAAGTCTATGCTTATTATTTATCAGTTGAGAATTAGCTATTTGCTATCCTCCCCTCAGGAAAGTTCCTTTAAAATAGAAAAATTTATCAAGCAAAAACAACGTATTACATAAATATTTTTAAAAGAGCTGAAACTGAAAGCTACAAAAAAGGATATCAGATTATAAAAAAATGATCAAAAAAGCACTGGTATCTTTTGAAGAAATCAAAACCAGCTACCTCTGGATACATCTGCCTCAGACATTCAGTCAGCAGTTCTTTTTTTTTTTTTTTTTTAATTTTTTTTGGTTTTTCTCCGTACCGGGCACCGAACTCACGACCTTGCGCTTGCCAGGCAGGTGCTTTGCTGCTGAGCTAAATCCCCAGCTCCCAGTCAGCAGTTCTAAAGAAATGAATTAAACATTGCAGAAAATCTGCTAATTGAGAATTGAAGAATAGAATGTAAGGAAACAAGATATTTGGCAAGGGGGGGCTGGGGATTTAGCTCAGCAGCACAGAGCCTGCCTGACAAGCACAAGGTCATGAGTTCGGTTCCCGGGACCGGAAAAAAAACAACAAAAAAAAGATATTTGGCAAGGAATCCATCAAAGATGACAGGGTTTAACAAAGAACATCTCAATGTTTGAGAGAGAAAGTGAAGCTAAATGAAGTTATGAGAAGATTAGATCTAAAATACATTGGATTTACAAAGAAAACATTAGATTGAGGGAAAGTATAAGTATAATAGGAAGCCTAAGAATAAGCATGTGATGAACATGATGCTGAGCTAGGTGAACTAAAAGATTATACAAACAAAAAACTCCTAAAGATCTTGCCCAGGAAGAGGATGTGAAGTTTGACTTTTTTTTTCTGGTACCAAAAGTTGAACTCAGAACCTCATGCTAGCCAGGCAGGTGCTGCACCCCTGAGCTATATCCCTGGCCCCAAGAGAATGTCAAGTTTGAAGGAATCTACCTTGCAGCACAGCTAAAATAATTGGATCTTGCATCTGAATTTAAAAGCAAAAATTATATTTGAAGTATATGAGATGAATTTGACAGTGGGCAGCCAGCAGATCAGCACAGTGAGAAGGAAAAAAAAATCAGAAAGACACAAGACAGATATTTCCCAGGCAAAATTGATGCCAGCAATAGCTGAAAGAGGTAGCGACCATTTCCCTTCCAAACAGTGACACAGAAAGTGTCAGGCAGGCAGGAAGAACGGAAGAGAAGCTGGAACACTTCTTGCTCACTGAATTTGGCCAGAGCTTTGAAACAGAAATTTTCAGTGAGTTCCATCAGCAAAGTGACATGACTCTGCAAAACAAAGTGGTTCAAGAATATGAATGGAAAGAGAAAAGGCAGAAGATATTGGCAACAGAGAAAGTGAAGATTCCAAGCAGAGAATTCATCCAGTGAAAGATGCATGGCAGACAAAGACGGGAGACTACAATAGCAGATTCATGCTGATTGGTCCTGCTAATGCTTCAGAAAGTCTTCTTGCTAACGTCACAAAAACACAACATAAACATCCTAAGACTGGTAATGCTTAGCCATAACAGGAATGTGTTATAAACCCAACTATGCATAAACCCAGGCCATCAAACAACATCATAGCAAGTTCTCCTACACTGAGCCAGTTCTTTTGGCCCATAGCTAATATCACTGAAGGACTACTCCTAACTAATGATATACCTGGCAAGGCTCTTCTCTAGGGTTAAATATGCACCTAGAAGTAACTAGGAGCCTATCCATGAGCCTTTGTGTGGTCTTGGGAGTAAGTGCTTTCTAGAAGAAGCTGCATATTCCTATCTGCTTTGTCTGATCAATGACCCAAATCTGTCAGTTCTACCCTGCCTTTTGCTTCTCCTTCCTTTCTGTCAATATTTCAGGTTCAAGCTTAAATATAACCTTTCTGGGTGTCCTGAGAAGAGATTTTCACAGGGATTTTATTTGAATTTCATAACACTTTGAGCTCTTCTAAATATCCACAGCTAAGCACACAGAGAATGTTAGAGAAGGGTTTCAGAATTCATAATGAGCTTGGTGCTTTGCTTTGACCTCTTGTTTTCTATTTCAACACACATTTCTGGCCATGTCTGCTCTTTGGAGAACAGCTATCAAGTGAATAGGAAGCAAAGACGAGGCTCGTGCCCTTTATGATGATGCGTACGTGTGTTGCTATAAAACCTGAGAACAGAGAACCATGTCGCCATCTTGCTGCAAGGGTGTTTCAGTGGTCACTAGTGATAGGGACCAGAAAATTAATTAAAGCCTGATTACATTTCTGTGATGGAGGTAATGAATGTGTGTAGACACATACTAGGCATTCAATAACCATTAGTTTCCTCTTTTGCTTTTTATATTTTCTTTTTGCTTCATCAGTAGTGATTAGAATATATTTGAGTATCTGATTCTAAAAACAATATATGTGTGTGAGAAAGATGGCGAGAGGTTAATGGTAATTTCTAACCATAGTATTCAAAAAGCCAATTTAGTCTGATGAAGAGAACACAGAACAGCTGAAAGACTGGTAAATTTTTACTATGTTAGAAATTGAACTAGGCTGGCCATGATGGCGCACACCTGTAATCCCAGTACTTAGGAGGCTGAAGCAGGAAGATTGCTGTGAGTTCAAGGCCAGCCTGCGCTACAAAGTGAGGTCAAGGCCAGCCTGAACTGCATAGTGAAACCCTATCTCAAAAAGACAAAAAAAAAGAAAAGAAAAGAAATTGAACTAGTTTTCAATTCACCTCTGATTTAATCTGCATTCTGATAAATAAGACTCCCCTTGCCACATTTATATAACTATTACAGGGCTGAAAAATGTAAAGTACTTCATATATATATTAAATGACTGTTTCCTGCATTTTTACTAATGCATTTATGTTTATAAATCATGCATATATAATGTTACAGTCATTCATCAGTAAAAATAGTAAGACTTCTAAACAATTTAACACATTAGGATAAAATGTTAAAACTTATACCTATCATCTCCAGACATATAGGAATCCTTTAAATTCACTGGCTAGCAT